AGAAGATTTCAATGAAAAATATGAAGCAATAGAAAAAGCTAATGATAAACTTCGTTCAGGTACTTCTATATTTATTATCGATTTCTTCTACTTACGTTTTTTCAATGTAGCATCAACAGGTAATTTTGAATCAATCCAGGAAAGTTATATGAATACAATCAATGAATTGAATGAACAGTTACTCGTGATGAAAGACCGATGTGAAGAACTTGCTGCTGAAAAACAATTTTTGTCAATTGAACTCGAAAAACGATGTGTTGAGATCGACCGGGAACATTCTAAACAAACTATTGGTATGTTTCTCTGATTGTATTCTCGACATTAGAACGTGAAGTTTCTTCATTTTAGAAAAAGTACCATCAAATATATTAAGACAACCATTCAAAGAGGTTTATTTTGACTTATTTTCTTCATCAATTCGTGACTCTTGTTTTCAGGTTCCTATTCATACGACTGGTGTAAATGTTGAAGATGAAAGAAAAGAACTTGAACAACTTCGAGAAAGTGTTACTCTTCTGACAAGTCAATGTGCTCAGCTTGATGAAGCAAATCGCGCTTGGCAACAATATCATCAAACACAGTTGAATAGTTTCCGAAATATACTTCATCATCATTTGCCCATAGATGAACGCTTCACATTGGATCAAGCTGCCGAACACATTCTTCATCAAGTTACAAAAGAAAGAGAAAATTTTACTCAACGATATCAAGCATTGGAGAAAGTCAATGATGATGTTCGATTAGGTATTTAGTGTATTAACTATCATCTTCATTCTTTATGTATTATTTATATTGTGTATAGAATCAGCAACTAATTTGGAAACCATCAAAGAATCATATATTAATACCATTGATGAATTAAATAAAGAATTACTTACTATGAAGGAACAATGTGAGATACTCATGGCTGAAAAACAAGCTTTATCAAATGAACTTGGAAAGAAATCTGTTGAATTCAACATAGAGCAAAAGAAAAAAATAATTGGTAATGGTTTTTTTTTGTCTTCACATTTTGTAGAAGTAAATATTCTTTTATTTTGTAGAGTCAGAACCAATCGATTTATTACAAGAAGTTTGTTATATTGTTTTATCCTAGTCTTTTATAATTTGTGTGTGTGTTTTTTGCAGATTCCTTTACAAACAAGCTCTTCTAACTTCGAACAAGAAAATGAAGAACTTCAACAATTACGCGAAAACTTTGCTATTCTTACCTCCCAATATGCTCAATCAAATGAAGCTAATCGTGCTTGGCAAGAGTTCCATCAATCTCAAGTAGATAATTTCCGTAGTCAAATACAAGATTTCATACAAATCGATAACGATTTATCATTTGAACATGTTGCACAAAAAATCATTGATCAAATAACTAAAGAACGAGAATCGTTCAATGAACGATATGAAATATTAGAAAAAGCACATACGGATCTTCAATCAGGTAACTTATTTAATCTATTGACATTTCTGTTTTTTTTTCTAATAAATAATATTCATTAGAATCGATTCAAGAAAAAAAAGAAATCGTTCTTCTGAAAGAAGAATACGATCAAATTCTTCGTGAAAAACAATCTTTCGTGAATCAAATTGAAAATCAACCAATTATTAGCAATCAAGAACGTGATACTCAAACCATAGGCAATCACTTAATTTTAAAAACGAAAGTTTATTCTCAATTTTATTCTTTTTTTTTTGTTTAGAAACATTAGACTCAAATCTTCTCGAACAACAAACTAAAATGGTTTGTTTCACTTTTAGATCTTTTGTTTTTTACCTTTGAAATTCTTTTCTTATTACCATTTTATAGTCTGAACTTCAAGAAAATCTTATTTCACTAAGAACTCAACTTGACGAAACTAATCATTCACGACAACAATTTGAACAAACACAATTTAATTTATTTAAAAATGTTTTACCAGATTCAACTAAAATGTCACTTGAAGAGCTCATACAAGAAATTATTTTATATATAAATCATTTAACAAAAGAAATTGATTTATATAAAGAATTAGAAAGTCAACGTGATGGTAGGAGATTTTTATATTTAAATTTTATTTAAAAGTTCCATTTAGATAATACAATTGAACAAGAACTTATGGTATTACAAAATCAATGTACAGAATTAGATGCAGCTAATCGTGCATGGCAATTATTTTTTGATAATCAAATTAATTTATTAAAAGATAGATTAAAAGATTATATTCATTTTGATAACAATGAAAATTTTGATCAAATTATTCAATTGATTGTTATAAAATTTCAACAACAAAAACAATTCAATGAAAATATTTCATTAGGTAAAATATTTAGAATAAACAAATATATAAACGTAGAAATATTGCTATTAAGTTCATCAGACATTTCTAATTCGAGATTTCAGATGAAAAAAATCTGTACAAATGTTTTGTCATAGTTTCTCCTTCTCTGATATTTCACATATCATTAGTAAATAGGTTACTGCGAATTTGTAACTGATTGTAATTCTTGACTTCACCGGTTGAAAACTGGTCTGTTGAGTACATCGATGAACTAACTAGTCTTCTGTGAGAAACGATCTTCTTTAGGTATCAGTAAAAACATATTATTTGAAAGTTATAAACATCTTAGAGTTTCTAATAGTAAAAACTTTTATTGAATTTTGTCAGCTTTCACATACACTAATATTCACAATGAAGGAAGAGCTCTTTTTAAAATATTTCATGTAGTAGCGCACACCCAAAAACTCATAATGAACAATATTGATGCTTGTTTTTTGCTTAACTTCCTTCAATAAAGGTATCAATTCTTGTAAAGAGTTGACAAGTTGGATGTTTTTTTTTATATATAGAATCGTTATTTAATACACCTGGAAGACTTCTCAATCGATATAAGACTACTATTAAAGATAAGATACAAACTTCGGTTTTTTACATAAGACTTCAATTGCTGTTCATCTAGAGTTTTTGACAGTTAATTAAGAGCAGTCTAGAAAAATGAGCTTAAAATTTCGAATTGGAATTTGAGGCTAGGATCTATGGGATCTGGCTATGAAAATTTACGCGTCGTTGGGCTCTCTCTGTGGTCGTGATTCTATGATGAAAAAGGGTGATCTGGAAATTAGAAACTTGAAATCTCAAAACAGTTAGACATTTATCAATTGCAAACTTTCGAATTCATATTTCTAAATCGATTTACTTCAATTTCCTTAAAATTTCTTGAAAAAAAAAACTGACTAGTCTGTTTTCAAGTCTGAACAAATATATATCAAAATCGAATACAAATGACAATCGTAGTTGTTCCTCAATTTCATTGAGACATAACAGCAAATCATAACATATCCTATGAAATTCTTTTCAAAATCTTTCGACTATGTTTTAACTAATTTAATTTTTCTAAATTTTAGACACAACAAAAGATGATCTTGATTTATTAAAAAAACAAATAAATAACTATCAAGACAATGAACAATCACTTAATGAACAAATTTTAAGTCTTGAAGAAGAATGTCAAAAACTTGAACAACAATTAAAAGAAAATCAATATTCAATTGATTCATTAAAAACTAATTTACAATTAACATTAAATGAAAATGAACAACTTAAGCAACAATATGATGAATTACAACAAAAAAATAATATACTTATTAATATGAATCATAATTTAATAAATCAATTAAATGAATATGAACAACAATCATCTCATTTTGATCCTCAAGATACTTCAAAACAAATGATTCAAAAAGAAATTCGTCATACACCAATTCAAGAAGTTAGTAATAATATTTATTCAATTTTCGAAATTAAATTTTGTTTTTCTTGTTTTTTTTTTGTTAAGGTTCAAATTCATAGAATAACTCCTATTCAATCAACATATTCTCCAAATATTGAAGAAGAACTTCGTCAATTACGAACAGATCTTACAGCATCATCAGCTCATTGTTTACAATTAGAAGAAGCAAATCGTGCTTGGCAACAATTTCATCAAAATCAACTTGAACTATTTCGTCATAAATTACAAGATTCAATTCCATTAGATGATAATTTTACACTTGAACAAATAGCACAACAAATTTTTATTCATCTTCAACAATTACAAAATAATAAAGATAATACGAATCAATTAGGTACGAAATTCTCTAACATAAACAAAAATAGAATTTTCAATTATTCTAATAGTCATTTATATTTTCTCAGAAACACGACAACAGTTACATTGTATTTCACATTGTAATTTTCCAAGGATTGCGTTGATAGGTTTTTTTTTTCATTCAAAATGTTCAATTAAGTACTAGTCAAAATTAACATCCTTTTGTTTTATTGTTTCACTTAAAATTATTTTAATTAGATAGTAAAAAAAAATTAATTAGCGAAATTCCTGCGGAATTTAAATATAAATCATGATGTAACTGCTGTGACTAATGGCAGAGAAATATTTTTATTTTAATAATTTTTCGGATATACTTGTTTACAATTCTTTCGATTAGTCTTCAAGAAATATAATAATGGAGTAACCTTCGACATATAAATATCCGCATAAATGTTGAGATGTGCGATGTTCGAACAGAACCAGTATATTCTACGATTTTTCGAAGAAAGTTTTAAACATTGCTAAGAAAACGAACTTTTAAAACATCTCGAAAAATATGCAGTTCTTTTGACTCCTGATATAAATATGTATGCAAGATTCGAAAAATACATCGTACTATGCTCATAAATGGCAGAACTAATATTGTGAACAGAATCACACTTATAACCAATATCAACGTAATTAGAGATCTTAATAACTCGGAAGGATAACATTTATTAGGCTTAAACTCAATAAAAAAATTTTCTTATTTTACCTTCATAACAAAACCATTTTAAATAGCTTGATAAAACATTACAATTAAATGTTTTAAAGTATTATGTAAATTTTATCGTGAGTGTTCATTTCAAAATAAATATTGTTCTCAATTTGTAAATGAAAAAGTTAGACTTATAGTATTTTCCATTCGAACGAAGCAGATCTAAATTTTCATGTAGATATTGATGTGTCCAAACGATTGTCTCTATACTTCAACACTTCTCTCAGATCGTACTTCACAAAAACTACAGTTAACTCTCTCTCTGTTTTCTTATTGAATCCATTATATTCAGATTCGTCGACAGAGTTTATTTGAATATTTGACGTCGTATCTATATTCAGTATGTTGACATAATGACGCACTATCTCCTCATTGTTTTTACAATATCTTTTCTCTCAAGCTACTATCTTCAATGCATTGTTGATTCTTCATATTTGATAAAAAATTTTTAATGAATCAACTAAGAATAGTATCAAGACATCAGACATCTTCAATATTCACTGTACACATACTCAGAGTGATTTTTCTACATTTCTCTAATGAAATTTTCCAAAATTAAAGTATCAACTTTTTTTTTTTCTTCCATCCACTTTTTAGACGCAAATTCAACAATTGATTCTGTACAGCAACAATTAACTAAATCTCAATTAAATGAAAGCATACTTTCTGAAAATCTTGAACAATTAAACCAAAAATTACTTGATGTTTATCAAGAATGTGAAGAATTTCGTGAACATAATGCACAATTAATATTATCTAAACAACAACTTGAACAGCAGTTACAAGAACAACAACAACAACAAATTGATGAACTTCAATTATCAAATTCTAATGCAGAAAAATTCTATGATCTTGGACAACATAATGAATCACTTCGTTTAGAAAATCAACAATTACAATTTAAATTAAATGATATGGAACAACGATTAAATCAATTATCAGTTAATTCAACTATTCACCGTGTTGAGTCGCCAAGAGAGGTTTGTAATTTTTAGTTAAATGAATAATTTATCGATGTTTTATTGTTTTTTTTCTCGCTATTTAAGAATGTTGGTATTCATAGTATTGATCGTGAACGTGAAAACGAAATTCATCAATTACGTACAGATTTAGCAGTGGCATCAGCCCGTTGTTTTGAATTAGAAGAAGCAAATACTGCTTGGAGAAATTATCAATATGAACAAATAGAATCTTTAAGAAAAAAACTTCAAGAACTAATACCATCATTAAATCTCATTGAAAATTCATCATTAGATATT